GCAATAAAGGGCGGAGACGAGTATGCCCCAGTATGTATTCTGGTTAAACTGCTAGATGCAGCCAGCTGCCTGGTTTACGAAGTGTCTGTGGTAACTGTGAAGGCTGGTGCCACCAAAATGCAGGGCCCTGCCCAGGATTATGGGAGAATGATCGTTGGACCTGGATGGAAGTAGGTCACCAAGTTGAACTGGGCCAAAATTGGTTTGCAATTCCTTAGGTTGTCTTTGGTCGATTGTGGATGGATGGAGTAGCTGCGCTAGGTCTACGTAATTACCAGTGAGAATTTGTTGGGATAGTGCTAGTGAGATGTAAGAAGGATGGTTAATGGATGAGGCTGGTTGGATAGGTGGAGCAAGCAGCTGTGGCTAATATGTAATTGTGTACAGGAGGTGGAAATACATTTGGGTATTAGGGAAAAGGAAAGGGGACAGAGGGTGGGAAAGGGGACAGAGGGTTGACAGAATAGATTAGCAGGAAATGGAGGAGGTTGAGGAAAGCCAGTTTTAGGAGTTGGTAGAGGGCTCTTTGGAGAGCTAAGGAACTGGCTATGGTGGGAAGAGAGGGAACAGAAGCTGTATTACTGTATGTGGCTGAGGAAAGGGAAAAGGAGGGGGATGTTGGGATGAAAGGATGTATGTGCGAGGGAATTTTGTGCAGCCTGCAAACACAGGAAAGTGAAGAAGCTATGATAGCTTAGGATGAGTCAGACACAGTTGGATTGGTGGAGCAGCTGTGGCTTGTGTGTAATTATGTACAGGAGGTGGAAATACATTTGGGTGTTAGGAAAGGGAGAGGGTGGGAATTTGGGGTAGGATTTATAGGATAGATCAGCAGGAAATGGAGGAGGTTGAGGATAGCCAGTGTTATGAACATAGACTGTATATACTATGGACAACCTGGTTCCGCCTTTCGCCAGTATACAGATTTGAAGCCAAATTGCTCTCTGTATTTTCATGATTTTTCTCCATTTCCTGAAACAAACATTGCGCAGTAGCTTGTGCGCACACCACCACTTGTGCATGAGCATTGTACGCATACCCCGGGTGAGCTACGCAATCTTCGTATGCCCATGTCATGTGTGACGTCACACATGACATTTCTGGTATTGATTGGCTCTGGCGGGGAAGCAGGAAGCACTGGATTTTCGGCCGCTGTAGCAAGTGTTGTGTAGGAATTGTAGAGCAGGAATAGCCTTGCTTTGCTGTCGCTGCGGTGAGATGGGATGCCTCTTGTCTTAAGGGACTGATGGAGGAGGGCAACAGTCCGTTGCTGATGTCATCCTCGGGTCATGAACACGGAGTCGGCCGTCTCGGCGAGGCTACGCCGCAGCGTGTTAGGTGATAACGATAATGACTGCTGCTCTCCGGGTGAAGGATAACTGGCTTGGAATGGTTCTTCGTACAGATCCTCCTCTGAGTCATGTAGCTGGAGTTCCATGGTGAGTGGCTGATTTTACTTATTTCTATAAGGCGAGCAAGCGGTAAGGCTTAGTGCATGGTCTGTGTTCCTCAAAGAATTGGATGTGTATATGTTGGCTAGTCAGGTGATTGGAGGTGTGGTGAAGGCGTGGTCCTGCTCCTGAACCTAAGTTAATACATGAACCCATTTAATCCCAAATTTTTCCCAGACACAAAAATATCTAAATCATGTGTCATTAGTATCCCTTTGAAATAATCAATCATAATTTTTAGAAATTTTCATGGAAAAGTGTGATAAAGTGTGTTTTATGATCGGTCACAATTGTGACCGGTGGGATACTGTGTTGTATCAACCATTGGACAGACTGAATATAGGTATGACCTGTGCGGTGTGTGTGTGCATGTGTGTGTACATGCATTTGTATGCACATCCTTATATCTAAGGCTAGTTATTATCACTTTCAAAAGTTCCAGCATAGCCTCTTAATGCTCTCTCATTGTAGTGTGAATATTTTACATACAAGCCTTATACTATCAATTAGCAATATGAATACTGGGAGCACCGTTATGAATATTAAGGTTAAGACAAAAAAGAACAACAATCATCAATGTATTTCAACACTGTAACTTTAGTGCAACATTCATTTGAAAACTTTTATTTTTAGTGCAGTAAACATTGAACACACTGAACATAAAGGTAAACATTTAGGGCTCTATTTTCGTGCCTCGCCGGCGACGTGGCGCAGGTGCGGCATAAGTCAGGTCTGCCGTGCCAATAAGGCGTTCCCAAGCACAATTCGGTGTTTTGGTGAGCGGTGTAGCCCTGTGTAAGTATCCCCCTAACTCAGCTCCTCCCAGTGGCGTAAGTCATAGGGAGGGAAGAGAGAGGGCGTAGAGTGGGTTTAACAGAGCCAAGACCTGTATTGACCAATAACATAAGCTCCTCTCCTCGCCTTTAAATCCGCCACCGGTGAGGCATATTACAATTTTCGTGAAGTAGTCAAAGAGATCAAGAGATGTCTGAAGACAGCAATGCCACATGATGGCGACAGAAGGCAGTCCCTCAACAAGTGTCGCTGTAAGCACTGCAGAGGGCGTCCTGCACACTGTCTCATATAAGCGCAGATGGATTTGATGTGTGTAATGTCAGTCCACGAAAATACCAAACTGGCTGTATGCCGTGCTTCGCCATTTGAAAATACCACTGCGTGGGGTCCGTGCAACTAAAAAAAACAACTAAAAAAAGGACACTGCAAACATTACATCAGTTAAACTGCTTGATGATGCACTGAATAAAAGAGAGTAAATGTTTTGGAAACAATCAGCGTAAAATCCTACAACAAAATTTAACAGTAAAATGTGAGTTTGGTCTTTGCAGAGGGGCTCCACACATGTGCAGTTAGACTTCAGTTGGGGCCCACTCAGTCTAAAGCATAGACTGTATATAAGATGGACACCCTGGTTCCACCTTCCGCCTGTATACGGATTTGAAGCCAAAAAGCTCTAGGTAATTCCGGGTTTTTCTCCACTTCCTTGAAACCAGAGCTGCGCAGTAGCGATGCGTGCATTCGGCTGCGCAGTCGCCGAGAGTCCCTGTGATGACGCTCGGCTCAAACAGCGTATCCCCCCCGGGAGAGCTACGCAATCCCTGAACGCCCATAGGCTGTACCAGGTGTCAATCATAGAAAACATGAACCCCCTAATAACTTTAAAAACGGAGCTGTACAGAAAAAAAAGGACTTGGGCACAAACCAGTCTTCCAATAACTACATGTCAACATCACAAGCAGGGGGGAGAAAAAGGTATGTTCTGTGTAATAAATTTCTAAAGTTTGTCCACAGTCCCATAAGCTTTGCTGGTGGAGGCGGGATTTATGACCTGTACTGCAGCCCACCATCAGAGGGTGCTGTTCTCGGAGTGGCTTCACCCAGCGAGGAGGCAGACTCTGTCCATCTTATATACAGTCTATGGTCTAAAGATTGCCTCTTGAATCTCAGCTGCTATCAAGTAACCTCATTAAAAAGTGTTTGGTCCCACCAGGTTTCAGAGTCACCTTTATTGTCATTGTACACAGTACAACGAAATTTGAGCGCCACTCCCTTTGGTGCATAGCAAAAGTAATGGTAACACTTTACAATAACTATACACTATTAAGCATTAGTTAAGCATAATTTAAGCATTAGTTAATCCTTAATTCCTCATGAACTCATCATGAATTCATTATTAGTAATGCATTACAAAGCATTAGCAAAGACAGTTAAAAATGCGCAACTAATATATTACTAAGAATAAGTTAAACATTAGTAAAGTGCTCAATTCATCGCTAACTCATCATTTGTAAATAATTAGTTAATACATTACTAAGCATTAGAAAACAGAAATAGACATATATAGCATATACAGTTATAGATCTGTATAGCATTTTTTATGCATTACTAAGCACTTAATAAACCCGGTTATAAATGTTTTGTTGCTCATTGATAACCATTGATAATTGTTCATACTTTATAAAGGGTTAGCAACTGTGTTAGTATATGTTTTACAAACACTAATTTATACTCAATGAATAACTTATTAATGCTTATTAATGCAGTTACTACTCATTAGTTACCCACTATTTAAGTATATTCTGTGAGCCCATCTAAAGTGAGGACTATCCATGCTTTAAAAAGCATTTATAAAGCATTTATAAATGACACAGAAGCAAAGATATACAAAGTGTCAGTTTTATTGGTCCCAAACAATAAAAGCTCTTTTAAATACACACTTTAAACTTAAACAATCTATAAAATTTAAAGTAAACTTGACAAACATCTTCAAATAAAAACAGTCTGTGATCGTATAAAATAGAAAAATAAAATAAAAGCTCTTTTAAATATACACTTTGAAAACCTTAACATCTCAAGTAAACTGGTGAACTATCCCTTTAGGGCACACACACACCAGAAGTCGGTGGCTGCCTGATTCTGGGATTCCGCCTGTGCATTTCAATGGGAAATGAGTGCGTTCCTCCTCCTGCGTACTTTAAAAGTTGCAGGAGGAGGAATCCGGTGGTTTCCCATTGAAATACATTGACGGAATCCCAGAATTAGGCAGCCACCTACTTCTGGTGTGTGTGTGCCCTTAAAGTGCACAAAGTGCTTTACAGTAAAACAAATATACAATTTTCAAATATTTCTAGAAAACAGTATGTAAAAAATCAACTGACACACCCTAGCTCACAGGCTACATGGTGTACAGCTCCAAGGCTATATGGTGGAAAAATAAAACATTCTTATCCGACAAATAAAACTGGCCAATTAAATACACAATTGTAAACAAAGCAATCACACTCCAAAGAAATACAACTTGTGGATCACAGTACACAAGTACACGAGTGGATCACAGTGCTATTCCAGTAGGTAACCGGTCAAGTGAGGACAACTGAGTACACCAATGCAACATTTTTCAAATATTATTATTTTTTTTAATATTGGACAAAATATCAAATTTTATGTTGGTGTGCCCACTTGACTGGTATTCTCACTGTGCACCCTAGCCCAAGCTCACTTCTTTGTGAGGGGCAGCAGCCTGTTGTTGTTTTAAAGTGTTTTCACATTCTCCTTTATAGCAGAATCCTGTTCAATTGCCAGAGAGCACTCAGAAGCCAACACTGCTAGTTTTACACGACCAGTTTTGTGAGCATCTAAGATGTCCTTGTACCTGTTCGGTGCAGCGATAAAAAGCTCAGTGATGGGTGCAGTGGCCACCACTGTGTTACGATCGACACCGACGGTCGAGAACGCAGCACCCATGGTGGTCCCTCCTTTACGGAATACCTTTAGTATTTTTTTATACCTGAGCACTGCCTGCTTCGGATTCAGGGCTGCAATACAGAGAACATAAAATTAGTGTTATCCACATTAAAAGATGTACACACACACATATTATGTGAATACATGTTAACAATAAACATTATTTATTTTTTGTCTTCATAGATTTGCTCAGGGGCTGTGGCTGTGGCAGATCGACATGCTAGATGACACCATTGCGGGCAGCTCAGCAACCCTGAGCAAAATGGCCAAACGATTAAGGAGAGTGTGTGTAAAGGCATTAAAAAAAATGAGAAGACGTACTGGTCAGAGGATGGGCGGCAGACAAGAGTTTGTCGCCATCGATGAGAGCCATTTTTGGCACAAATGAAAGGTGTGTATTACTAATATTTACTTCCCATGATAATGAAATAAAGTCAACCGATGTTTTGTATTTGTTCACACTGTACCTAATTTGTTTTGTTTCTGCATCAGTACGGGAGAGGAAGAATGGCTGGTGCCTGGGACCGGAAAAAATGGGTCTTTTGTAAAAGGAGAACTCTCGAAGGCCAATTGTACCTCTGGTAGAGCGGAGAAACCGAGCACATCTGGGGCCTCATGTATCAACGCTGGCGGCGCCAGAAAACCTTGCGTTCGCCAAGATCGGCGCACACGTCCAGATTTATCATCGCGACACGAGCGTCGGTTCCAGCGCAATTCCACGCAAAGTGAGGAGGTGGTGTAGAAGTTGGCGTTGAGCCGATACTTGCGTTGACGGCACTTTGGCGACGCTGTGTGGCAGTGTTTGGTGACTCACTATGTGACAAGCGTGCACCACATCCCTGTGGCCGAGCAGCCCGTCGTCCCACATGACGAACCAGCAGCAGACGGAGGGATGCGAGCTGATCCCTGCCGGGCCGCCGTCCTCGTGCGGGAGAATCTCATCGCCACAATGTGAATGGGTAAGAAGTGAATACACACTTCAATGAGCCAAATTAATTTATTTTCTCCACCAGACGCTCGAGGACATTTACAAGCTGTTCCAGCAGCTCGTTGATCCCCGCAATCCCCCTGATGATTTCTTCCTGCGATTGCAGGACCGCCTCCGTGAGGACCCTTCCACTGGGTCCGGGTGGTCCAGCCGGCTGGTGGACGCTCCACCGCTTGTCGGTGCGCTGGTGCTGGGGCCGGGGGCCGGTGTGGCCCGAATGCCGCTGGTCCTGGCCGACGACTCCGTGCCGGCGGACGGGCTGCCGCGGGCCGGGGTTTCACAAGCCGGCGACACGGCCGACACATTGATTTCTGTGACACAATAAAAATATTGGTTCATTTCAATTCCTGCTTCTGTGTATCTGTTGCGTTTACATCTATGGCAAAACATGTGGACATTTGTGTGACACGCCACTTACCCTCCGGCAGGCTGTCTGAGTCGCCGTGGGTAGCGGCGACAATCCCCCCCACAGAGGCGCCCCCCATAATCGCCACCACCCGCTGCTCAAACGGCGTGAGGGTCTCCTCCCCCGGACCACCACCTGTCTGGCCGGTACTCCTCCGGAGGGCAGCTGTACGCTGCTTGACCTCCACCTTGAGGTCCGACCACTTTTTTAAAATCTCTGCGGGGGTTCGTGTCTCGGAACCCACTGCGTTCACCCTCTCGCAAACTTTCTCCCACTCCAAGCGTTTTCGTTTTGCACTGACGCCACTGGACAGGCTGCCAAACAAAACACGCTGTCGCTCCTCCACCTCGCATGCCGTAAATTTCGTTTTTCTTGTCATTTTGTCTGTGTGCGAGGACAGGGAAACCCTATTTAAATAAATCTGCATATTTATAGGTGGGCGTAACGGGGGCGGGCCTGGTCACTCCGACATCTGCGCTCAATTCCAAGCTGATTGGGATTTATCAAGGAAACACACGTGGCTTTCGGCGCCCGCACACCTTGATACATACGAATTTTTTTCAGCGTGACGGACCTTGCGTGAGCTCGTTTCCTGTATTAGTCCCACGCAAGTGTTGATACATGAGGCCCCAGGTGCCTCTGATCACCCAACATGTGCGGGGTGGGTCCAACATCATCAGTGATGAGTGGCGTGCTCCCTGCATTAGGGTATGTGCACCACACGGTAAACCATAGCAGGTCCTACGTTGATCCCCTTACTGGAGCCCATACCCAACATATCAAAAGGGCCTGGAGAACTTACAAAGAGAAGATTTGGAGGCTCAGGGGAAACCGAACAGAAACCTTGCTTCAAGACCACCTTGCAGTCATTGAGTGGACTGGATGGCTTGCCAAAAAGCACCGTCATGGTGCATTTGGTAGGTTAATTCATGACATTTCAAGAAAATACAGGTAGTGTGTTGTTTTTTGGCAAGCCATTCAGTCCACATAGTCATTGTGTGCGTGCGTGTGTGTGGGAGAGGGAGGAAGAGAGAGAGAAATTAAAAGAGCTTGTGTTTTATTTTTCTATATTATGTGATCACAGACTGTTGTTATTTGAAGATGTTTGTCAAAGAATCTTTGAAGGTGTTCAGTGTTTAGTAGGTCATCCAAAAGTTAGTTTACATCCTGGGGTTGTACACCATGTAGCCTGTGAGCTGGGGTGTGTCAGTTCACCTTTTTTTTTTTTTCCTTTTTACACACTTATCTTTGGAACATTTGAAAATTGTGTCTTTGTTTTACTGTAAAACACTTGTTGCACTTTAAAGGGCTAGTTCGCGCCAAAAATAACATCTTTTTCCTATGGCTTACTCAAACCACACAGCCTTTTTCATTCTTTTATTTTGGTCACATTCCTTGGCCAACAATTTGATGATAGCCAAATTTTCCTCCAGTGTTTAACTATGGAGACTTATGGAGACTCAAGGGCCTTGGGTCTCCAAAGGGATCCCACCACTTCCCATCAAATTATTAGCTTAGGACAGTGAAGGCTTTGTGGGTTGACAGAAAATAAGTCAAGTTTACTTTAAATTTTATAAAATGTTTTTGTTTGACGTGTGTATTTAAAAGAGCTTTTATTGTTTGGGACCAATAAAACTGACACTTTGTATATCTTTGCTTCTGTGTCATTTATAAATGCTTTATAAATGCTTTTTAAAGCATAGATAGTCCTCACTTTAGATGGGCTCACAGAAAATACTTAACTAATGGGTAACTAATGAGTAGTAACTGCATTAATAAGCATTAATAAGTTATTCATTGCATATAAATCAGTGTTTGTAAAACATACATAGTTGCTAACCCTTTATAAAGTATGAACAATTATCAATGGTTATCAATGAGCAACAAAACATTTATAACCGGGTTTATTAAGTGCTTAGTAATGCATAAATAATGCTATACAGATCTATAACTATGTATGCTATATATGTCTATAACGGTCTTTTCTAATGCTTAGTAATGTATTAACAAATTATTTACAAATGATGAGTTAACGATGAATTAAGCACTTTACTAATGTTTAACTAATGGTTATTAATGTATTAGTTGAGCATTTTTAACTGTATTTTCTAATGCTTTGTAATGCATTACTAATGATGAATTCATGATGAGTTCATGAGGAATTAAGGATTAACTAATGCTTAAATTATGCTTAAATTATGCTTAACCAATGCTTAACTAATGCTTAATAGTGTATAGTTATTGTAAAGTGTTTCCAAAGTAATAAAAGAAAGCCATTTTAAAACACAAGATACGGTAAGAATAAGAAGAAACAAAAGTAAAAATGCAGTAATGTATATATCTGTACATTATGAAATATAACAAACAGGAATGAATGATCTAAATGATATGAAACCCGATAATTGCACAAGTGAAACCCAGTGTTATTGCACGGATAAAGATATATTTTATTGCACTTAGATCAATGTAATCAGTAATATATGTTGGTTGAGGGGGACAGGTTCAACTGGACTTGTTGTTGACTGCAGTGATAGCTCTCGGGAAGAAGCTATCCCTGAGTCTGTTGGTCCTTGTTTTGTGTGATCTGTACCTTCGGCCCGACGGTAACAGGTCAAACAGGTGGTTTCCGGGGTGGTATGAGTCCTTGATGATGTTGCCAGCTCTGCTCAGGTAGCGAGATTTGGCAATGTCCTCCAGGCTGGGCAGAGGGCAGCCTGTGATCTTCTGGGCTGTGCAGATGACCCTCTGTAGTGCTCTTCTGTCGGCTGCAGAGCAGCCCGCATACCAAACTGTGATGCAGTATGCCAGGATGCTCTCTATGGTGCCTCTGTAGAAGGTCACCAGTAACTTCTCCTCCAGGTTATTTCTCCTGAGCACTCTCAGGAAGTGGAGTCGCTGCTGGGCCTTCCTCACCACAGCAGAAGTATTTGTGGTCCAGGAGAGGTCCTCTGATATCTGCACACCCAGGAATCATATAGTGTGGACCCTTTCCACACAGTCCCCGTGGATGTAGAGTGGGGCTGGGTCCACTCTGCCCTTCCTGAAGTCTATGATGATTTCTTTAGTTTTTGTGGTGTTCAGTTGGAGGTTGTTTACTGAACACCACGCAGACAGTCTGTTGACCTCATCCCTGTAGTTGGACTCATCTTCCACTGAGATGAGTCCGACCACGGTGGTGTCGTCCGCAAACTTTATGAAAGTGTTTGAGAGATGGGTCAGGGAGCAGACCTCAGCTGGCACATGTTCAGGTGGAAGTTTGCCTCTACCTGCAGTTTAAATATTGAACACAGAGATATGCTGGAGCTCTGCTCCATCTACAGTTGAAACCTGAAGTTTACATACACTACAATAGGACACATAGCTTTTTTTTTCTCACTGACTGAAGCTAAATTAGACTTAACCTCTTCTGTTTCAGGTCAGTTAGGATTACCAAAATTATTACTTTTTGCTAAAGGCCACAATAATGAGAGAGAGTATATTTTAGAAATTTTTTTTATTACTTTCTTCAAGGTTAAAAGTTTACATACATTTCCTTAGTGTTTAGTAGCATTGCCTTTGAACTGTATGACTTGGGTAAAATGTTTTGAGTATTCTTCCACAAGCTTCCTTCAGTACTCTACTGGAATTCTGGCCCATTCTTCCTGACAGAACTGGTGTAACTGAGTCAGGTTTGTAACTGAGTCAGGTTTTTCAGCCGCCTTGCTCACACACACCTTTTTCAGATCTGCACACAAATTTTTTATGGGATTCAGATTAGGGCTTTGTGATGGCCACTCCAAGACATTTACTTCATTGTCCTCAAGCCACTTTTTAACTGTTTTGGCAGTATGCTTAGGGTCATTGTCCATTTGGAAGACCCATTTGCACCCTAGTTTTAGCCTCCTGGCTGATGTCTTGAGATGTTGCTTTAATATTTCCAGGTAATGTTCTTTCTTCATGATGCCATCTATTTTATGAAGAGCTCCAGTTCCTGCTGCAG